GTAGTAGTAGTAGTAGTAGTAGTAGTAGTAGTAGTAGTAGTAGTAGTTTTTTTTCCACGAGTACGGACGCCGTGTGGGCATGGTGCCCAGGTCATCGTTGAAGGGAGGGAAGAACAGTCTGATGGTGGAGAAAGAAACAGAGAAACCCAACACCACACCAAACAACCAAAACAACACCACCCAGGGCCCACAGGCCAAGTCTCCACCATCATGTAGTCTTTCCTCTGCGCAAGGTGAAACGTGTGAGACGAGAGAGAGTGTCTAGAAAGGGGCCTGAATTAACGAAAGAAAAGCATATCGGCGCAGGTTTGTGCTCAAGCAAAGTCGCAAAAAGGCTTCAAAGGGACTTCACTTCATCATTGTGAGTGACCAACGGCCACACTCCAGTGCGGCAAAATCATGGTCACAATGCAGTTCTCCACTCAACAAAGAGGTATCGCACTGCTTTAACGTCGATTGCATCCCTACAAGTGGGGTGGCGTAGCTGTACAGCATGCCGTGGAAAAGACCTTTCTTGTGGCACAACCAGTTCAACCGATTGCACATACAAGTCAAGTGGCAAGCTACCAATCAACAATCAATGGGTGGCGGCCATAATCGACGAAGGCTAACAGGGGAAGGTGCGAAGAGACCCCCCCCCGAAGGGAGGTCAGTTCAAAACTGTTTGGTACTCACAGGTACCAAACAGCAACCAGAGTGGAGTGTCTTCCAGGTTTACAAAGCACAGCACTGTAGCAAAAGTGAATCGGCTGCATGCAAGGCCCGTGTGAAAAAGGTGAAACAGGTGAAACTTTGGACAATCCTATTTTTTTCCACGAGTACGGACGCCGTGTGGGCATGGTGCCCAGGTCATCGTTGAAGGAAGGGAAGAACAGACAGATGGTGGAGAAAGGAACAAAGACCCCAAAACCAACCCAAACCAAACACCCAAGCCCGCAGGCCGAAACTCCACCATCTTGTAGTCTTTCCTCTACACTGGGTGAAACATGTGAAACAGAGACTAGTGGCAATTAATGGGCCTGAATTCTCAAAAGAAAAGGACGGCAGCGCAAGCTGTGTTCATGGAAAGCCGCCTAGGAGGCTTCAAACGGACTTTCCTTACCGAGTATTGGTGACCAGCGGCCACACCACAGTGTGGCAAAACAAGGTCACTTTGCAGGTCAGGTGTCTCGCGATGCTCCAGCGCTGGTTGTAATCAGGTCGACCAAGAGTGACAAGATCTGAGCAGCAATCCGTGGAAAAGACCATTCTTGCAGCACAACCCGTTCAACTGGTGGCGCATACAAGGCCAGTCACATGCTGCCCGACAAAAGCCAAACCGTGGCGGCAATTCCTAGCGAGAGAAGCCTGCAGCTAAGGGTGAACAGGGCACAACCTCCCCGAGGGGAGGCAAACCCAGCACCCTTCGGCGCGCACCGGTGCCAATAGGGGATGTTTCTTGAGTCAGTGAGGCGCTGCGTAATTGCAAAAAGTGATCTGCTGCGTGCAAGGCCCGTGTGAAACATGTGAAACTTTGAGCTCTCCTAGCATGATATCTGTACCTCTTTGTACAAAATTGGAAATGTCGGACATCAACAGCGGGAACTAAGGTTCCCCCTGGGCATCCTTCATTGCCACTATCTACCACCCGCCGTTTAGGAACGCAGAACTAAGGCTCTCGCTCCTATCGGCTCACTACGCAGCGAATGGCGAGAAGAGGTCATGGTTCTACTTGGTGTCTGCGCATTTTTCTTGCCGTATATGCCTGGAAATCATCCTTTCCTAGTGCTCGAATACTGACACTTGGCTCAGCTCACTACCCA